TCACCTAGAGCATGTTACACAGGAAATCGTCCAGGCAGGCTTTGAATATCTCCAGAGAAGGAGAGTCCAGAACCCCCTGGGCAGCCTGGGCCAGGGCTCGGTCATCCTCAAAGTCAAGAAGTTCTTCCTCATGTTCAAATGGAACCTCTTCTGCCTCTGTTTGTGCCCATTACCCCTTGTCCTGGCGCTGGGCACCACTGCAAAGAGTCTGGCTCCATCCTCGTGACATCCACCCTTAAGATATTTGTACATGTTGATGAGGCCCCCTCTCAATCTTCTCTTCTTCAGGCTGAACAAGCCCAACTCTCTCAGCTTTTCCTCATAGGGGAGATTCTCCAGTCCCCTCATCATCCTTGTTGCTGTCCTCTGAACTCTCTCTAGGAGTTCCTCATCTTTCTTGATCCAGGGAGCCCAGAACTGGACACAGTACTCCAGGTGGGGTCTCACCAGGGCAGAGCAGAGGGGGAGGAGAACCTCCCTCGAACTGCTGGCCACGCTGCACTTCATGCACCCCAGGATGCCATTGGCCTTCTTGGCAACAAGGGCACACTGCTGGCTCATGGTGAGCTTGTCATCCACCAGGACTCCCAGGTCCCTTTTGGCAGAGCTGCTTTCCAGCAGGTCATCCCCTAGCCTGTACTGGTGCATGGGGTTCAATCTCCCCAGGGGCAGCACTAGACACTTGCGCTTTTTGAACTTCATCATGTTCCTCTCTGCCCAACTCTCCAGCCTTTCCAGGTCACCCAGAGAGAGTCTGCATCGGCCCATGGCTTTGTCTTTCAAGGAACAGACAGCAAGAGGTGGAGACACATCAGGGAAGGTCTCAAAATACTGGAGTGAGAGCCAGGTGGGAAAGCCAGATGGGTGTTTACAGCCTGAAAGGAAAGAGGTGCAGGCATGGAACATTGTAGGACACCCGGCAGTCGTGGTGGCCAAGGACTCTGGCAAGGCTGAAAGGCTGCACAAGACCAAGGTCTTTGTCCCCTTAGCTAGGACAGTTGCATCTGCCACTGAGGCCTACCAGGAGGTGTCACAGAATTTTCCTACACTTGGCATTGCTCACCCTCACACCCCACTGCCCACAGAAAGAGTCCTGAGCCATGCAGGAGGGACAGGATCTGCCTTCCCAGGGCCTGGGCAGTAAGGGCTTGCCCTTTCTGATTTATAAAACAAAGCAAGTTTTTTCTCACCGTTACAGCCACTTGCACAGTGCCTTTGCCTCCCTGCAGTCATGGCCTCCAATTATCTGCTCTAACGAGTCCCTGGGGAGGGTTTGTCAGTAACAACCCTCACTGGGGCTCATTAATACTTCAAGGTACTTTGGGTTTTGCTTCTTGCTTCCTGAGCAGTTTTTTCAATCATCTATCAGTACCTGGGGTTCCTGGACTCAGCACCAAATACACCCTGGGACTTATTAAAATACAGAAAGCCATAATGAGCCATACCTCTTCCTTTAATTTCCTTCAAGTCTTCAAGCCTTGTACAGATAATGAGAGATATTTCATAGTGTAGTTCAAGAGCTGGATTTCAATGGGTGTTTAATAAAGACAGGGTTTTGCTTTTTAAAGGGCCTTTTCCATTATTTTTCAAATTCCCAAAGAAGTGATTGCAGCACTCTCCAGTTGGGATTGATGCAGAGAGTTTCTTGAGGAGGTTTCAACCAGTAGGAGAAACTGTCCCTTGAGGTCTGACTCTGTATGGACAACTTTTCTGCTCACCTCCCCACCCTCAATATTTCTGTCATTGGTCGTTTGGGAAGGAATGATCTGAATGAACGAATCACTCTTCCTTGCCTCAGACTTCTCCACTGAAGCCTGCAGCTGCAGGTGACAGCTCCATTGCACCATCTCCCCCTGCTCTCCTTAGAGAACTGAATGCACACAGGCACTGAGGGATGTTTTCCTATGGGCAAGCAAAGTAAAAGCAAAGCATGGCCAAGTTCCATCAACACAACTCACTCTGCAAGCACATGCTCAGTACAGGCTACCTCTAATGAGGTTGCCTTTTGACAAGGGAGAAGCTTAGGAGAAATATTTTAGGCAGGTGGATAAACAAAGATAGATGGAAACACAATTAAAGAGTTGGCTGAGGAGACAGTTAGACTCCTGACAGACAGGCAAACTTCTCACTGCCTGATGTCAAAGCAGCAACCGGCTGGGTGACAGGGATGTGAATGAAGAAAGAGTAAGGGGAGGAGAAAACTGGAGAAGAATGGAAAGGGCCTTTGCCCTGGGAAAAGATGACTTTAGCAATGGTTGTTCTGTCAAAACAGGTGAAATTACATGAAATTTTAGAGAAAGTAAACACACTATAGAACAAGCAGAAGAGTGGTTTCGCAGTTACACTGGAAGATCAATATTTCTCTGGAATATCCCTCTTGAAAGGTCATGAGATTGGTAGAGGTTCTTTGCAAGTGAGGACAAGCTAGTGTCACACCCATCTTACAGAGAGGCCAGAAGTGCAACCAACAGAACCCCAGGCTGTAGAAGCTCACTCTGGTGATGAGTGTGCCTTGGCATGAGTGCTCTTGGGTGACATTTCCAGGCACCTAAAAGAGAAGAATGTGTCCCATTGCAGTCAGCATGGATTATCCAAGGGTAAATCATGCCTCACCAACCAGATCGCCTTCATGAAGAAGTCACTGCTTTTGTGCACCAGGGGAGAAGAGCGGATGTCATTGACCTGCACTTCAGCAAGACTTTGGGCATGGTCTCCCTTGATACCCTTGTGCTCCCATTAGGCCATGACAGTCTGGATGGGGAGACAAAGGGCTAGGTAAATACCAGTGGGATGATGAGGCTGAGCAAGCAGCGCTGAAGGGGTCATCCCCTCCCTGGAGGCCAGTGGGAGCATTGTGGGGCAGCACAGGGGACTCTCCTGTGCAGTTGAACACCAGCATACATGACCCGGAGGAGGCAACTGCCACCACGTTTGTTGCTGGCACTTAATTGGCAGGACCATTGCTGTGCCCTAGGGCTGCCCTTCAGGGGAAACCTGACCAGCAGAAGGCCTGTCCTGTCAGGTCCTGCGCCTTGCATAGCCCAACCCCCTGCAGTGGTAGGGCCTGGGGACTGCCTCGCTGGGGAGTAGCTCTGTGGAAAAGGCCGTGGTGGTGCTGGGGGACGGAAGGTAATAGTTTTGAGTCCCCACTGGTGAAAGGCAGGAGGGAATGAGCACCTGTGGGGCTGCTGGGCCCTTGGCCAGAGACAACCACCACTGCAAGGAAGATGTTGATAACTGCTGCGGGTTCAGTGGAGGAGAGTCATCGAGATGCTCAAGGGCTGGGGCACTTACCTGGGAGGAGAAACTGAAGGGAAGGGCCTTTTTCAACCTACAGGGGTGAAGGACTTGGGAACCTCCTGGTGACATGCCAGTCCCTAGGGGGAAGTTTTCAGGATGATGAAACCAGTCTTGTCACCACATTACTGGGCAGGAGACTAATAAACAATAGTCAGAGGTTGGAATAAGAAAGTTTCTGGCCAGAGATAAGGAAATGACATCTCTGCAGAGCATGGGGTGCTTTAGGCTGTAAAGAGAATGTAAACAAATCCTCGGACTTGGGGTCTCAGTCAATGGAAAATTGCAATAGTTGTCATGTAAAAGGTATGAGGATATGAGAAAAGCCTTGGATGAGAGACCAACGCTGGCAAGAGCTATGGCACTTGGTGTGTATTGCCTGTCAGTAGGAAACAGGTTCCTTTTTATTAATGATGGAAGTAGAGTTGGGTATTTGTGAGCCTCAGAGAAGGACAGGGGTGATAACTGCAGCAAAGGTCCCTCCTCAGGGCTGGGCTGTATGGCGAGAGATGGAAATGAGTGTTGTGTGGGACTGATCTGGGACAATATTTTTAGGGCAGCTTCCATGGGGTGTCCTTGGAAGATGGCTGTTGCCTTTTTGGGGGCGTGGCGACCTGGTTCAGGAACGGCACGGCGACCAACCCCTGGCCACTCGGGCCATCAGCTCACGGACACCAATGTGGTGGACGGCAAATGGCGTTTATTAGTGGGTAGCACAGCGTTATATAGCTTCAGCTTACAGTGTCACTTCTGTCCGCTTACTTCATGAGCTAAACACTATTAGTTATCCGGGGAGGGGGCCTATCTTTCCGTACAGTGCAATATCTTCCGACCGCCGGGCCCTAACTATCCACAGATGGCAAAGACCAGGACCCTCTCTTCGGCACCTTTGATGCCCTCTGTTATCTGACAAGCCATATGTTACAGGGTGTTGTGCACGGGTCAGACACAACAGGATCAAATCAAAACAGAAGGAGTAGAAACCAAGAAAATTATATATAATCAGGATAATCACCAAAGAAACATGCAGGCTTGTGGCTAAAGCTAAACTCCAGTATCAATACAGGCTGGGGGGAGAAAGGAACGAGAGCAGGCCCTGCCAGAGG